TATGATGGTAGTTGGAGAAACAAGTGGAAAGATATAGAGGATTAGAAGTGATAGCATATTAAAATACGGTCATGTTGGGGGTTTTCATCTTAGTTTGGGTTACATTTCTAAGAGTTACGAAAAATTCAGCAAAGCAAAGCATTTTCTAAAGGAAAGGAGGAGAAGTTGTCCATTGCAAAGAAAAGGAGTCCAACTAAAACTTACTTCAGAAAAGTTACAATGAAATTATAACCCCATCCATCTGGAGGAAACAGCAGGGATCTTCCCAAATTGCTTTGGCAATAAATCCACAAACACATGGAATTCGCTATCTCAAATAAAACCCACCTCATCCGCATTTATCTTGAGAAACTCTAGCTTATTTCAATCCCAACAATGGCCAAGAGTCTGCAGTGCCAACAGTTGAGTTTAAATCTGTATGTTTAAATGAAGATTGGATATTTCGTTAGTAATTGAAATTTCCAACAGAGAAAAACCAGAAACAAGCTTAACCAGCAGCACTTTAGGATATAATCCAAAGATAGAGCGTTTTAGGATAATAATCCAAAGATGGATCCTCGTTGTTGACTGCACAAATTAATGTGGGGTCCTAACTTTTTAGATGGGTCACACTGATTCTGACCTTGTATCCTATTTGGTCCTAGATTTTTTCTTGAACTTACTTTACTTGGTTTATCTCTCAAGTCAACCCATACATGTCCGTTATCCCTTTGTGCTCATAAGTCCATGTACTTTTTACTGCAAATGTTTTTGGGGACACAGATATAAGGAATGGCTGATGTGGACATTCTAGGGACACCTCTGGTATGTATCATGTGCTATGTGGGTGACATTGGATTGCTATTGTTGGGGATCCAGATATAAGGAATGTGTGTGATATGTGGGATGCATTGCTCTTGTATCAATGTAACTCATAAGTACTTCATTATTGAGATAAAAGTGTTTTGACATGAAAATTGCACTGAATCTCTTTGGTTCTAAAAGTTGATGCTTCACATTTATGTTTTTATATTTGAAAAAATGGGTGTTAAGGGTTTATTTCTCCTCAGGTACTACGAAGGACAGTTTGCTCCTATTTCTGAACTGGACGTTGAAGATGTTGAGACTCCCCCACTCAGAGTCACAGAAGCTGCTGAGAAGGTGAACTACAATCACCAAGCTTAGTTTTTTTTTTTTTATAAATATTTTTAATTAATAGGTTGGAGAACTGCTTATACGAGACTATTCTATGTATTATTATTGCAATTGGAGGCAATTTTGTAACTCATAGGTTTCTGGTAATGCAATTCTTGTTCTGTCGAAGTGTTTGAGTTGGTTAAGCTTCATTCCGGTGATTGTAGAACAATTTCTGTGTTTGAATATAATTTGACAAACTTTTGTGAATGATCATTTGTTGTGTTAATTTTAATCATAATGACATCAAAGTATATTATCATGTATTGGTTTGTTTGTTTGGTATTAATCAACCTGCCGCCTGTGCCTTGATATTGTTTATCGGAATGATACCTATGTCTATTTTATTTATAGGTTTCATTGCTGGAAGAAAGTATAAAACCTAGAACAGATCTTCCTCATTTGCTTGTTCATCTTCGTGAAAGGCGACCAGAGAAGCTCCATTATATTGGTGTCTCCTTTGGGCTTACCTTGGACCTTTTCAGGTTTTGGTGGAAACATAAGTTTGCTCCATTCTATATTGGACATATTCCAGTTAAGATGGATTCCCCTCTCCATACTGAATCCTTTTTTCCGTTTACTGTTTTTTTGAATATTATCATTTGTGAATGAATGACTGATTAAACAATAATTTTTCATTTTTCTTTTCAATGTAATAGAGTGGTGTGACCGGGGAGCATACGTGTATGGTCCTCAAATCTTTGAAGAATGATGAACTTGAAACCAGTGATTTTCGTCCATTCAACCTAGGTGGGCCCATTTTTCTTTGGAAAACCTTTGTTCTATTTAAATTTGTGCAGATTTTTTGTATTTCAGTTCACAGCTTGATTATTTGTTGGCTACCTAGATTTCAGGAGAAGATTTTTGAGACTATTGGGTTATAGTTTTCGTACAATGGATTATAGGCTCGCTATGAGGTACTATTAAAAGTTCCATTCTGATAAATGCTTATTGTTCAAGTGCTCGTACTAACTAATAATTTTCCAGCATCTTAGATCCTAAGATCAATTACAAGGATGGAGAACCCAAATCGTCTACCACAGATGGATTCTTACGGTCTATCACAGACTTACTTTCGCCTTATGATATGAAGCGACTGGAGGCCTACACCAGCAGTCTTGCTGACTTTCATATGGTAAGTTCTCTGAACAATGGTTGATTGCCAACTTGCCCTGTCATAGTGCTATGTAGTGTTTTGGGATTTTTTTATCTTAGGATTACTAATTGATTCCATACATTCATATTAAAAATAGAAGTAATGTTTGCATTACAGAACAAGAAATACTTCCCTTAGAATCAAAAAAGATATTTGCGTTACAAGACAAAATATGCTTTCCTTTAGAAAAAGAAAGTAATATTGCATTACAAAAGAAAAATTGTATTCCTTTGTGATAGAATTATCGTCTCAGTGTGGCAATATGATTGTGATTGTGATACAATTTTTAGTTGACAGTGGTGAAATATTTGTTTTCTTACTGTGGACAATCTGATACCATGATTGTGAACATATATTACTCTTGCAATGTTTTATGAATAATCTTTTTCAAAAGTGAACTATTAGGACATTGTGTTTAGTTATTGATCTAATTATATGTATATATATGTTCAGTTACACATTAAAAGTTCAAAATTGCTTGTTTGAGAAGGGGAATTTGTGTACTTTACAAGTAATTTGTGTGTAGGATTCTGTGGCCGATGTTTCATCCCGTGCTCTGTGTTACATAAAAAGATGAAATCAACAGCGATTAGGCTATTAGACCCCTTCTCTTCCCCTCCCACCCAATCCCACCCCCTTGTGGGTATGCCCCTGAGGGAGGTGAACCCATTTGTTGTGCGGTTCTCAGGAAGGTGCAGTGCATCCTGGTCAATGGCATGTCGTCCATTTTTGTTGATTATGGTTTGAGTGGATTATCTGCTTCCTTCTGTTTTTTGGGAAAGGCTGCCAGTTTGAATGTGTCAAGATGTTCTTCCTCCTGTTAGGCATAGATGATAGTGGGGAGGAGGGATCCGAGGGCTTATTGCATTTTCATCCTTAACCAACAGACCTTACTTTCTTCAAATTACCTGCGAATTGTTTTTAAAATTACAGTTTAAACCCTGGGGTCCATTTGAATTTGAAATTAAGTGTCATTTTCTAAACTGAGGTCCTCTTGTACTCTAGTTATCGTTTGTTTATAACTTTACACATGTTAAAGTTATGCTTTTATTTTACAGATTTTGGATCTTGTTCCAACGCTTTCACATCTGTATTTCCAAGAGAAACTTCCAGTGACATTGACAGGTGCCCAGGCTTCCATATTGCTCTGCATTGGCTTACAGAATCAAGATATCTCCTATATTGAGGTTTGTTTCTCTACTTGTTACTCATATGGTTTGCTTGGCTATACCAGTCACATAGATGCAATGCGAGCACGCAATCAAACCCACTTGCAAAGACAAAACACTCTACTTGGTGGCGTCATTTCTGCTCTTTATTTCATTCTTATCAGGTGTAGATTTTTACTTACATTCACGTTTTCCAGGGGTTGATGAAACTGGAAAGGCAGCAAATATTGTCTCTGTTTATAAAAGTTATGAAAAAGTTTCACAAATATCTATACGCTATTGCATCTGAGGGCCTTGTGTCAACCTTGCCTAAACCAAAAGAAGTAAGTTCAGCAAAGCAGTAACCCTTTTTTTTCTTATGGAAAGTACATGATATGTTGGTGGTTTCCATCTCTTTCTAATAATTTCATGTCGTAGGATGCATTATGATTCTAGTTGGCTTAACTATATGATATTGACATGTGTGTTGCGCGTGAGCCACTTTGGTACCTGAACTATTTTGTTTGATATGTAATCGCTAAGTTTACATTATTGTGTTTCTTAATGCAAGCTTAAACATCGTCTATCACATTATAATTGTGCGTGCGTGCGTGTATGTATGCTACTGTGCTTTTCTTCTGCCTATGTTGTAACTCCACTCTGATTCGGAAATTTTGGTTCAGACTCTCTTGGAACCTCACAAGATCTCTGTTGATGATGATCTCAATGATGCTGCAAGAAAAGTTGAGGTACGCTTTATTCCTTCCTTACCTTCGTGTTACCTGAACTGCCTCTCTTTCCCGCGTTCTGAATCCCAAGAGTTGGGCTGACTTGACTACGCACATACAGGATGGGATGAGATCCAACTCGGAGGGGTCATTAGATCCCAAGTTGCTTCAACAGTACGCGATTGGGGACAGAGATGCAGACTTTGAGAATGCATTACAGAATGGCGGTGCAAACCTACCTGCTGGTGGTCTCGTTAGCGTGAAATCAAGTAGAAACAAAATGGATAAAGGAAAACAGAGAGAGAGTCACAAGAGTGGGGAAAAGCGACATAAAAATGAGCATGGCTCCAACTCAAAGTCCAACAAAAAGAAGAAACATTGACATTAGCGACGGTCTTGTATGCATCTATTGTAACATTCAGTAGGGCGTCGCTTTAAGTATGCAACTGTTATAACATTCTTACGATGTATTTTTGACACAAACACGAACACAAATAGAAACAGGGATGCATCAGGAGATGACAATTTTTGTTCTTTAATTCGATTGTGGTTTCAATTTTGTATTTCAGATGTTTCCAAATCGAATCCAATTGTGATTTCAATTTTGGTTCTTTAATTTGACTGAACCGAAATGATATATGAAACAGCTATAGCGGATTATTCTATTTTGAAACCCACTGTAGTCTATCAAATTGAATCCGTTGACACAAACTTCTGATACGTGTGGCTGATTCCTTGGGGCATCATGCAAGACGAATAGAGTTCGAGGCGAAAAATCACAAGCAGAGAAGACGATATATGCAACCAACATTTTTAACAGATTCTTAACGAGTATAATAACACAGCAATTAACACCAAAACAGGAATAATTTAACTTCTAAGATCTCAAACTCAATTTGGTTCATGACAAGGATTCAATAATATCCCTTCCATATCTAAAATATTACGAACATAACAGGTCAAATGGGAATTACCATAACATATGCTCGCTAGATATCCTCCATATAGTAAGCAATGGACACCGAGCTTAAAAATACATATCCGTACCTGGGCTGTGTATCCCTCTGCTTCACTTCCAGAAATGCTTCTCTCAGTCCCACAAGAACCCGCTTTAGTGCCACTAGACCGAATCAGAACTTCCCCTACACTGGAATCTTTTGTGGTACCAAGCCAACTGAAATCAATAGGACTCTTAATCAATCTAAGGTACTGGCAACTGAGAGCCAAAATATTCCAAACATTCTGTGTAAAGTTAGAGACGCAATCAATGAATTCACTTGAGACATCGTCAAAATCTGCATGTTGAACTTGACCATAGAATAAACAAGCTTCAAATTTGTCTATCAATGAGCATTTTGGACATCTATAACTTGCAGTGGAACATGGATTTGACACAGGCAGATCCCGGTGGACAAACTCACTCCAGACTGAGCTTTTAGCAAGAGTTAACAATGACTCCCCTGCGCTTGTCCAGAAATTTGCAACAGATACAATTAGAGACGATTCAGAGCGGAACAGATGGTGAGTTGCACCAGCAAGTAGTAAGGAGTATGCTGCACTAGTCCTGCTTAAGTTCAAAGCTTTTAACAGATGATCATCCATTTTAGAACATAAAGCTATCATGTCAGTTGCACGGATTTTATACGCTGAAGCCAATGTTGTGTAGGCATTTAGGGAGAGGTAATTTAATGGGTGCAACCAGTATCTCAGCTGAGATGTTTCTCCGTTGCAATCTAATTGCATATCAGAGAGTCCTTGTGTGAACGCATGCTCAAGCCTCTCACAAGAAGATTCAGGATCGCCACTCGACAGGTAGTCGTCAATAGCATCATCAAAGTAAACACTCAACAATTGCGTTGCCTTATCTCTATTGAAGTTTATTTCTAAACTCAAACTGGAGGAGTTGGAATTGACTGCAAATATTTCCTGGAGTTTTGAAACCGAAGGTTAATGATTATTCAAAAAACACCAATAAGAACATTAGCTACATCCTAGGAAATAAAGTTGACTGCCAGAGAGGAAGAAAAATGGTTAGGAGGTAATTCATGTTCAAGTTGAAAAAGAGCTTTTGTTCAAAGTGAAGGCCAAACTATATACAGGGGGGGATACAAAAACAAGAATCTAGAAGTACAAATATCCTAGTGCATTTATAATTTCTGTAAAATCAATAGTATAAAGATATTACGGAAGAACTCCAAATAGACTTAAGAATTAGTATTTAATTGAGAATATCAAGAAAGAAAGAAAAAGTTTTCATGAATTGCCACCTCCAAAGCTTGATCCACGTAGGTTAGGGGTGATGCACTACATCGCGTACAAGAGCAGATAAACCGATACCTTGACCATAGCTCTGACTGCCTCATTGCCTGGAGGAGCTCATGAGAAGAAAAGAAAATGTGACGTTAAAAGAAAGGGATTAAAATATAACATCAACACAATTAAAATTGGAAATAAGTAAAAGAAAAGTCAAATGGGGCAAGATTTAGCTAATCCCTAAAGTGGAAAGAAGTCGGATTGCCTTGCATTGTCTCATCAAGTTTAGTTTCCTAAGACAGGGACAATAAGCAGAAAATGACACTAGCAAATTCTCATCTCACAGTCATCGAAACATCGCTCAGTTAACTTGACAAAACAGATGTGGATTATATGAATTCAAAATTCCAATCGCTGATCCATGTATAATGTGTATATAGATAAAATGCAGATACCTTAGGCTGCAACAAATCAGTGTAAGTAACAGTCACTTCTTCGCCTTTCTTGATTCTCTTGATGCTCCTAACCGTCACTCTTGGACCATAACCTCGGCTTTCTACATTCGTAATATACACGAATGGTTCAATAATACTGGTAAATTTGGTGTACTAATTCAAACAAACAAAAACCGAAAAGAAGCACGAAAACTTAAAAAAACCACAACACCTTTTGCTAACACATTATTGCTACAAACACCATTCTCAATCTGCAACAAATATCCATCTCACAACCCTGAATTTCAATCTTATTCCACTATAAATTAAACAAACGGTGCAAATTTGCAGGGATTACTTGTGTGGCACGACCGGAGGAGCGGCCGAAGGGGACAATGCGCAGCAGCGCCGTTTCGGGCCAACAAGGTGGCGTTGGCGGTGTCATCAAAGAAAAGCGGTAGCAAGCATTCGGGGAGCAGCTGTGGTTGATCCAGCAGAAGCTGGGACCGTAGACGGAAATTCCAAGGGTGCGCCCGGTCTTATCCTGCACCTCCACGGCGTTCGTTAGCACCAATGACAGCACGGCCTCCTCCAATACGGCGTCGTGCGGAGCAACGTTGGCAATAGTCGCATCGATAGAGAAATTCGGAGATTCATCCCGCATCTTCCTGGCGAGGAACATGGCTCTGGCGCCGTCGCGAACCCTATGGTCGTGGTGGTGGAGGAGTTTGTGGCGATTCGTCAGGAGGCCGGCTACGCGAGGGTAGGGGGAGGTGGCGGGAAGGGATTGGAGGAGGCGGAGGGCGGCGCGGAGGTCGGAGGAGTCGCCGTTGGGGTAGGCGGAGGGGTGGGATTGGAGAAGCAGGAGAAGGTAGGGCTCGGCGCTGGAGACGTGGAGGGGAGAATCGGCGGAGGAGCAGAGGGAGGAGCAGTAGTAGGAGGAGGGAGTGTTGGGAAAGGTAGGAGTAAAGAGGGGAGGGAAGGGTTGGGGAGGGAGAGGGGAGAAGCAGGAAGAGCAGTGAGATGAGAGGAGGGAGTGGTGGAGAGAGGAAGAAAGCGGAGGGAGCGGTGGCGTTATGTCTTGTCCTATCTCTATTTCTTCCCCGGCCCTCATCTCCATCTCCACCTCCATCTCCGTCACGGCGCTTTCGGTTCAACTCGTCAAAAGTTTTACACCATTTCCATCTTCATCTCCGTCACGGCGCTTTCGGTAACTTTACAAAAGCTACTTCACATTTTGAATTAAATTACTAAAAAATTCAATGCATAATCGATAAGTACTTCCGTGCCAATAAAAGATGTACACATCCGTACTGATAAATACACCTCACATTCAAATTCGATATTAAATAACTTATACACTCTATACAATGTCAATTTTGACCTTATTAGTTTTTTAAAAATATAAAAAAATTCTGAATAAACCTCAAATCACTTTTAACGTATTATTTATCTATTTTTTTTGTCTTCCCAGCAAAGGCAAGCAAAATGATGAAACTACAAGGTTAGAACTTGAATGGAGTGCGAAGAAATTAACAATATTTCCTTATGTATATCATCTCACGGCATAACCCCAATTTAAAGAAATGATAATAGTAATAAAATGGCTAAACACAATCTTTGTTCTGCAATTCAACACCAATAAATAAATATGTTTTTTTTTTTCATACATCTGAAAATGCAATAAAACTACATCAACATTCAGCTACGTTTTTGCCAATCTGGGCAAAGTCCTAGTGCCATTCACATTACAAGAGACCCTCTAATTGTTCTCCTTTCCCTTGCTGCTTTTACCCTCGAATTTTTGTCATTAAACCTCAGCGTATAACCTCGTCTGCCACCTTCAACAAAGTCTCAGCAGCCTTATCTTCCTCCAATCTTGATTGTGACTGAGTTATAAAAAATTTGGGGTGTATATAGAAAATGTAAGGTGTATGTTGAGAATGGGGGTGGGAGGGTAATATGGGAAAGTAAATGGGGTGTATTAAGATAAATTTTAATTGAAAAAGTAAATATGAGGTGTATTAAGTATATAAGGTTTATTCAACAATATGTAGGGTATAAATATAATAAGCCTAAAAATATGACTAAATATTTTTTTTTATTTAATAAAATGCCTGTTCTTCCATTTAAAAAAAAAAAAAAATTACCTAACAGAAAACTACATGAGGAGCTAGACACAGAAATAGTAGCTAGCTAGGCAGATCTCCAATTTCCAATTTCCAAGCAATGCTGCTACAGACCATATCTTCAACGTGCTTGATGGAGTGTTCCCCCTCAGAACCTCAATCAACACGCAGGGGGTTTTGCATGCTCGCTGTAAGTAGTTCCAGTAAGACCCAATGCGAGTTGCAATGCAGGGTCTAGATTGACTTAAATCGCAAACAATGCAGTCGAACTTGTTCCTCAAGTGATAGTGTGTGCACAGGAAATACATTGACTAATGCTTTCCTACGTAGTACAGTTACAAGTTAAGGCCGCACGCAGGAGAAAGCAAATACAGAAAATGGGATAGAATTGGAAAGTTAACCTTACCGACGAAACTTACAGGGCAAAGCAACCAAGCACGGCTGCGTGAGCAGTCTCAAAAGATTCTCCGCACCAATCGTATTCAAAGTTGCGAGTGGAGAGGATGTCGGCTTTGAAAGAGGAGAAATCGAATGATCTTTTTGAATCGCAGCCTCCATCATTATAATTATAATCATCACCATCATCGGCAGCATTGGATGTCAGATATCTAGGCAACTTTGGAGGTGGTTAGTATGTTAATTTGGTACATTTTTGCCTCTTTCAGATTCTTTGGTTGTTTTTTGGGATGTCTATGTCTGTAAGCCATTTTCCAAACAGTTGCACAATCTATGGATTTTTGCGGGTCTTTCTACTATTTCAGCTATTTAGAAGGCTCAAAATAAATTTATTTTTTAGGGTCGTCCAATCTATTTTCATCGTCTTTTGCATTTCTATCAATTCGGCGATTGTTCATGGTGGGAAGTTTATTTCTGGTTATTCTCAAGGTTTTGACACTCGGATCATTTCTTCTTTGGGGATCCAACCTATCCCTCGCAAGGCACCTACTATTCTTCCTGTCCTTTGGTTTCCTTGGTTTAAGCTTAATACAGATGGTTTGTCTAAAGGAAATTCTGATCCTGCTACATGTGGAGGATTTTTCAGGAATTGTCATGGTTGTTTTCTTGGAGGTTTCTGTCAATGCATTGGTCATCGCAACTTTTTTTTTTTTTTTTGCAGAGTTATTAGCAATTATTATTAGTATTGAGTTTGCATATCAATAGGGTTGGCATTGTCTTTGGTTTGAAAGTAATAGTTCTAGTGTTATTTATGCTCTTCAATCGTCTAATTTTGATCCTCCTTGGCCTCTTCATACGCAATGGTCTATTTGTTTAGATCGTATTCGGAAAATGACTTTCTATGTATCTCATGTACATCGTGAAGTAAATCTTGTTGCAGACAATTTTGCTAACATGGGATTGTCTTCTCCATCTTTAACTTGGCATGATTCTCCTCCGATGGCGGTTTGTGCTGCTTTGTTTTCAGACTATGTTGGCTTGCCTGGTTATTGCTTCTCAAATTAATGTGCATGTCGGCATCCAGGTTTGTCTCACTTTTTTTTTTCTCCTAACTTTATGGGGTTGTTTGACTTGTTTTGCAAGTTTAGACCTTTAGGTTTGGTTTTAGAGGGATTATGTTTCATGTCCCCCCCCTCTTTTCTTTGTATCATTCTCGTTTTTTATTTCTAGAAGGGTAAGGTTTATGTTCCCCCTTCTTTTTCGTGTATTCCTATTTATTGTCTCTGTTTTATGAGGGGTAAGGTTTATGTCCCCTTCTGTCTAGGTGTAACTTATTTTTTTGTTATCAATAAAATTACCCTTATACCATTAAGGTTTTCCAAAAAAAACAAAAAATAAAAAACAATAAAATAAAGCAGCACTAGTGAGGGTGGTACTTTGTTTGGAGAAGGAAAACTCAAAAGTTTGAACAAGAAGACGCACCTTCCAAAGACAAATTTTTTTTGGGTGCGAGATGGGATTGGAAAGAACAAAGCATACTTTTGAACCTCCTAGATGAGCAAAGCTATAAGTGTGCATCGCCCCCAAAATTCACTCGGCAACCTTGGCTCCAGAATTTGGATGGGCTTAATCCAAGTTCCGAAGTCATCGGAATCGGTACTGGACAGTTGACAGGCTACTACACCCCAATTAGAACCAGAAGCATTATAAACGCCGTGGTGGTCGGCGTAATAATCATCATAGTAATAGTAGTTATGTTCCAGGCAACTAGTGAAGGCTTGTTTACTAAGTGCGAAAGCTTAGGTGAACATTAGCTGACCATCAAGGAGGACTAAACCCGTGCCATGGGTAGGAAGACGAGGAGGGAGCCGTCTCCATGGTAGAGCGGGTTCAGCAACGTCGAAGCAGAAGAGCGGACTTTCTGGGACGTCGATTGACTGGTATAAACAATCGGCTTCTGATTAGATGATTAAGAAACACTCGAGTCCATGCATGAAGGCCCCGAATATGGACTTTCTGGGACCTCCTTAAGCTTCCTAGTGTATCAAGTTCACTATTTGTACTCATTATTCTCAAATTTCAGTTATTAGAGTTGTGGATTGATCGTTGAGTATGAAACTATCATAAACATTTTCAAAATATGAAAACTCGTCGATGATAATTTTGGACTTTGTAGATTGTAATAACATTGTTTACACTATTATTTACGAATGAAAAGAATTATCATTTAATTCCTCAATGTTACTTTTGTCTACATTTTTTCTGAAATTTTTTCCATTGAGACCTCCTGAGGTCAGTCATGTCCGCAGCTAAACATAAGATACCAAATTATTGTTCATTCAATCTCGATGAATTTGATCTCGTATTTGCATATCTTTATTACAAATGATTTGTGTGCTTGCAAGCTAAACAGCCGTAGGAAATGGGAAGGGAGGCATGCAGAAATAACTTCTTACTAGATATGCCATTGTTAATTATTGACTCTAATTTGACAAGGTATCCAAATTAAGTAGTAAATCTTGTGTCCACAAACCAATTGCCAATAAGGTCTAAGTTGCATTGCAAATGAAATGAATGTCCACAAAATTTCATTAACTTTTCCAAATCATGAATTTCAATCAAATGCAACTGATGTGGATGTGTATATCACAACAGAAACTGACATCGTAAAATTGTTTTCACTAAGCTTTACCCGTGCGATTACGCCAAGTCTCGTAACTTTTTTGTTGGTACAAACCAGTTACATACAAAAAATAAAAAAGCAGAGGAAACATCCAGTGCCTTTCTTCATAAAATCCATTTTTCTTGCAATGCGGCTGAATCGATCAGCTTCTCGGTTCAACCTGAGAAGCTGGACCAATAAATGAAGAGTGAAGAAAAAGGAAAGGTTAGGAAATGGGGAGGAGGAAGCAGAGAAAGAACAGCGGACGATACGAGTGCTCTCAACTCACGAATATTATAGAGCTCACCTGTCTCCTACTTAACTTTCAAAGTAGTTTCTATTCGTTCGACAAGCTGATCAGCAGTCATAGCACCCTCCTGCAAGTAATGAAAGCAAAGTCATCATAGATATTTAAAATCGACCAAAAAACCAAAAAGAAAAACCGCCAAAACTAATCTAACAGTGCCTTGCATACATGCACGGAGAACATACATTATTTATTCTATTTAATATTTTGGATCTAAGAGAACATAAATCCTTAAAATTCAACATCTTCGAATCAAAACTAAGCAAAAGAAGAAGAAAAGCATGCAAAGCAACACACCTGACGAAATTGTAAACCAATGCAAGTGCATAGGATATCTTACAAAATCTAAAAAGTGGAATTAACAGCAAATCGTAACAACTTGACAATACCCGTCCATATTCTGGCCGTATAAAAAGCATGCAATCAGTATGAGATGTTATGTGACAGATTACACATTTCTAGACATTTGATCGTCTACCAAAGGCAAACATATTAATCTCCCAAAGGAAAAAAGAGAACAAATTCAACTTACAAAGCGGTCAAATGGCTCTCCATCCTTAAATATGATGAAAGTAGGCAATGCTTGTATGTTATATTTATCAGCAATGCTAGGATACTTCTCTGTGTCAATTTTCACAACCTGGATCTTGTCATTCAGCGTAATACTGACTTCATTGAGGATGGGTGCCATAAATTGACAAGGTCCACACCTGTCAACCAGAGTTTATTACTTAATTGT